CTAGCAGCTCCACACGATATAGAAAGAATGTTTACCAAAGGCAGAATTCATACTAAGATGGATGAATTTGAGGGTATGACAGCATCCTGAGCTTGCGTTTCATCAACCTGGAAGTGAACAGCCTGGATTACAGGAGACAGCTGTACACTAGACTTGGTTTTTCTGAAACCCTGCTATCCCCAGATGTCAGATCTATCAGTCACATGACTACAAGCTTCCAAAGAGATGCCAGGACTCAGGTCTGAGGGCTGTCAGCCCAATTTCATATCCCATCTTTTGGACATATCCTTGTTGGTCTTACAAGCCTCTATTTACTGTGGGCCTAGATCTGAATAAAGATTCCTAAATCACTTCACATTCTGAAGGGATTTTTAATGTGCACATTTGCATTTTTTCCAACACATCAGTGCCCTTCTCTCTGAAGGGGACATTAAGACTCTAAGAGATGTGGGAACGTGGGATCTTTTTTTAGACTCGCAACTTTTAAATGAAACACATTTTATCTCTGTGATGCAGCCTTTCTGCTTTCTGTGTCTCATTCTCTCTGTTAGGCAACTAGCCCGCTTCCTGATTCACCTCTGAGTCACTGGATCGTTCCTCTCATCCCCTTCCCAATGCAGCTCTGCTTGGTGCAGACTTGGTCACCACATCCTTCTGATACTTGGGATTTCATTCCCCAAAAGTGCTAGCTTAAGTCATTAGTCATATTAGCACAATACAAACTTTAAAATATAGTGTAAATAGCCAATGGGTCTTAATGATTATCTTATTACGTGTATCAACATTTGTTTATGTATGGTTGTGTGTGTGTGTGTGTATACTCATTCATCTAACTATATTTATGGACTACTTGTTATATGCCATAGACTTTGCTTTTGCTCTTACACATTATCACCAGTTTTGGATACCTGATGCCTTCTTCACCTCTGGTCCCAAGTTTACCTGAGGACATTGCTCTTGCATTTCTCTTCAATAGAGTAAGAAAAACAGGCCATATTCAAAAGGACAAATCCCACATCTTTTCTTTCCTAAATAGAATAGACATACATGTACACTTATGTACATATGTATTATATGAAAATAGAAAGTAGAAGCAGTACTATTGGGGGGGCAAAAGGGAACTAATGGAAGAGAGGAAGAAGGAAGCGGGAAGAGAGGAAAAGGCAAATGTCATCATTCTCTCATGGAGAATCTGGGTTTTATGTGAATAGATTATGGGCCGTAAAAGGAGAAGGGGAGGAAGGGGATCCATGGGGAGAGAAAGAGGGGCAAGAGAAGGTAGTGGGTGAAGTACATGTGTGGACGTGGCATGATGAAGCACACTATTTAGAAGTTAATTCTAAGACTAAACTTTTAAAGAATGAAAGCAACTGCCCATATAATCTGCCTTCATTACTATGATTAAATGATTAAGATGACTAAAAGATTTCATATATTGGGGCTGGAGGGATGGCTCAGTGGTTAAGAGCACCAACTACTCTTGCAGAGGACCCAGGTTTGGTTCTCAGCACCCACATGGCCGCTAACAACCACCTGTAACTCCAGTACCAGGGGATCTAACACTCTCTTCTGACCTCTGTGGGCATTGCATAACTTGGGTGCACTTACATGCATGCAGGCAAAACACTCGTATACCTAAAATAAAAATAAACAAAAGATTTCACATATGAAAATATAAACACACAAAGTATATTTTAATAATAAGTAAGATACATAGCAAATGCCTGCATGGTCCTTGCTTGCCGATGTTCCTGTTTCAGATGGTTACACTTCTTTTAAGACAAAACGTGATTGATGCTGGATTTTTCAGGTAACCTGACAGGGCCATCAGAAAAGATGCATTTATTTGATCAAAAAGAACTTTATTGGCTTAAAATTATAATAGCTAGCTTTCTGCTCTGTCACTGAGGAAGGTCAGTTGTGGTTAAGTGTACACTGAGGTCAAAGTTATGCTCAAGTCTAGATCATCCATCTAAAAACTGTGGCCTTTCCTTTCTGTGGCCATAGTATGTACAACATGGGAGTTAAACTTAGGAAATTTTGTTAAAAATTTGTTAAAGCCTTTTCTGACAGAGTAGTTCCAGATATATATATATATTAGCTTTA